TTCTCCGGTGCCACGTCGAGGGTCGCATATGAAGTTGATAACCAACTCTTCTCTCCTGATGATGCTTTCTACAATAGATTCAAAGATGCTTTCGATTTGTGCAATAAGACTGCCGGGATTCGGAGCAAGGCCAGTCCCAGGGAAGGTCCTGCCCGCAACGACTGCCCGCCTTTGCGGCATCTATACGGATAAGGCTTTGGGATGCGAAATTATGACAACTAGTGATGAGGGTTGGAAGAGCGAGAAGTAGGTGGCGCTTGTAATCAGTCTTTTAGGGGAAGGAGACATCCAGGCCAATTGCGGGATGCACTTTCCCCGAACCCCGAGGTACCTACACATGTATAGACCGATATCTCTCCAAGGTACTACTGCCTTCTTTTCAGCTAATCGGCTGAAAGGGGCCTCAAAATCGTTTTTACTAAAGCTCCTCAAGTTTGGTAGACACAACTCTCCGTCATCTTAACCACCCATTTGGCAATTTAGCTATAGTAAAGAAGGCATTCTGCTCAGTGAGTTGCACTCAGGTTGTGGCCGCTGTTGGGGTGTAGCGTGGTTGGCAGTAATCGCAAAGTCGGGAAGGTACGAGTTTGGTTGGTAATGCCATGTCACCGATTGACACCATTGTGTGAATTTTGGCAAGTCAGGATGAATATGGGAACGATGAAGCGTCACGCTCACGAGCGAAGCAAGATCTCTCAGAAACGGCGTGGTGTACGAGAGAAGGTTTGTTCTCAACGAATGGTCAGGACTCAAATGGCCCCATCTCGCAGTCTTTGTCTCAAGGAGTAAGGCTGTAGGGTCGACTCAATAATCCTCTTGAAGAACACCATCGGTTTGCCTTTACCAAGTCTGCCGCATCCGAGGTTTGTCGGACCCAATTACAGGAAATTTGAGGGTCTGGAGCTCCTGAGATTCCTCCCAGCAATTCGGCCGATTGAAGTGCCTCCCTACATCCACCAGTATTGAGCCTACTACCTGAGGCAAGAATCACATATAGAGCCCTTGGTTGCCGGTTTCCTAAAGCAGCTGGTGGCAGCAGGGAGAGCAAGGTATCTGTCTCTGTAAGATCGAGACAGTGGCAGAGATCTAGAATTGGCACGATGCGATAATTGGTGTGGAAACATCGTTGGTGATCCCTTCGCACGGAAGGATCTCTAGATGGATAGATTGACCCCTAATCATCAAGCTGGAGTTTTAGCTCAGTTGGGAGAGCGTCAGACTGAAGTTCGACTTCAGTCCCATGACATCTGAAGGTCGTGTGTTCGATCCACACAAACTCCACTGATTCTTCTTTTTGCCCTTTAGCTCAGCATCATGAAGATCATGCTATACAACCAATGAATGTTCTTTTTGTCTACTAGACTCTTTTCTTTCCTTTTCTTTCTTCTTCTCAAAATACCTGCTAGCAGGTATATGAGGTGGGGAGGAAAAAAGCTGGGTTAACTTAAAAGGAAACATTTAGGGACCACATGTGGCATATCAACTACCTAGGTACCCAGGTATATATATATAAACAATAAGAGCCATCCCGAGAGTTTAATAAAAGGTTTGTACCAAAAATTTCGCAGCTGCAGTCAGAAAGTTAGAACGCCAAGGTATTGATATTTTGACTGTCTGTCCAATTTGTGATAGATGCCATAGCGTCTGTTTGGCTTGTCAATGGGAGGGGAGACAGCAACGTCAAAAAGCAAATGACCAAAAGAAAAAGAAAAAGGAAAAAGATTTGCGCGCTGAAGCAACCAATCAGATCCCTCTTGTACCGATCATTTCCATTCATTTCAGGGGTTGCAACAAATAGCAGTCCCAAATTGGAGATGCCGTCGTAATCGTGTAGATTTCGACAATGAAGGGTAGCACTGGTGGGCACTGGGCACTACGGCAAGGGCAGGTTCTGGGCAGCGCTCGGAGGGGGCCGGATCCGGGGTGGAGTGGTGGGTTTTTCTCCGGGCGTGCAGCAGGAAGTGGGTGGGTAATTTACAGAGCACCCAGCTAGGATGTGGTTGATCTTGCGTACCTACTTAATTGTTCACCAGACCGCCACGCCAGTCTCGCCTTTGCCTCCTCTTCATGTTCCAATTGCTTTCTCCCTTACAACCCTAGCCCTGACGACCATGACGAAAGCTACCGGACGGGAGGAGGAAGCTTCTCTTCTGCGAAAGCGCGGTGCCGACGACCAGCACGCCCCTCCAAAGCGGCCCAAGCTCGAAGCTAAGACCGACGTTACAAGATGGAGGTTGAAGGACGACGACAGCCGCCATACTTGGCATTACCTGGAGGACGAGAAAGCTGCTATCGAATGGCCCCAGAGCTACGCTGAGAAGTACTACCTCAATCTGCCTTTGGTACATATATGCTACCCACCGAAGTCTCGGGAGTTATTGGACTAATCATATTCTCTTTGCTCTAGGGCCTCCCTGATCTTCCCACGGCCGCTACGCCCAAAGAATCTGCAGAGAACGGCCTCACATTCTTCGAGAAGCTCCAGCTTCCATCTGGCCACTGGGGCTGTGAATATGGCGGCCCGATGTTCTTGCTGCCAGGCATTGTCATCGCCTGGTATGTCACCAAAACGCCAATTCCATCCGCGTACGCGACCGAGATCAAGAACTACCTTTCTGCACGAGCGCACCCCGATGATGGTGGATGGGGTCTACATATTGAGGGGGAGAGTACCGTCTTCGGTACCACTCTGAACTATATCGTCCTCCGACTTGTTGGTGTCGACCCTGAGGATCCTGTAATGGTCAAGGCCCGAGGAACCCTACACAAGCTTGGGGGAGCTGTCTACGGACCACACTGGGCGAAATTCTGGATGGCGGTACTGGGAGTCGTCCCCTGGGACCTCGTCAATCCTGTACCCCCTGAGATCTGGCTCCTCCCGGACTGGGTGCCCATTGCTCCCTGGAGGTGGTGGATTCACATCCGCCAGGTTTTCCTGCCGATGGGGTACATTTACTCGAAAAAATGGAGCTGTGAGGAGGACGACGTGATTCGTGGCTTGAGGGAGGAGCTCTTCGTCCAACCACACGCTGAGATTAATTGGGCAAGTCACAGAAACAGCATTGCGCCCGGTGACAATTATCACCCCAAATCCTGGCTCTTGAACTCGGTAAATTGGTTACTGGTCAATGTCTGGAATCCATATCTACGAACCAACTTCATTAAAGAAAAGGCCGAGGCCTGGGTCAGCGAGCTCGTCGACATGGAGGATGCGAATACTGGCTATGCAGCTCTGGCCCCAGTCAATGCCCCAATGAACACAGTAGTATGCTACATCCGTGACGGGCCTGACGCATTTACCGTGAAGCGCCATATCGAGCGTTTCCCGGAATACCTCTGGATGAAAGACGAGGGAATGCTCTGTAACGGAACGAATGGCGTCCAATGCTGGGACACGGCGTTCTTGATCCAGGCTATCTTCGAGGGGGGCTTCCAAAATGATGAAAGATACCGTCCCATGCTCCTCAAGGCCCTTCATTACTTGGAGAGACAGCAGATCCGCGAGGATTGCGCGGACACTGAGAAGTGCTACCGACAGCAACGAAAGGGCGGCTGGCCTTTCAGTAACAAAGACCAGGGCTATGGTGTCAGTGACTGTATCTCCGAGGCCTTGAAATCCATCATTCTTCTCCAAAAGGTGGGCGGGTTCCCAGAGGTACTGGAGGATCAACGTATATTTGACGCCATCGACACGTTGCTGTTGTACCAGAATCAGGACACCGGCGGGCTGTCTTCCTACGAGCGGCGACGCGGCGGAACGTACATGGAGATGCTGAACGCCGCCGAAGTGTTTGGCAACATCATGGTCGAGTACGACTACCCTGAGTGCACCACGGCGTGCGTGACGGCGCTCTCCCTCTTTCACAAGCATTGGCCAGACTACCGTGGCGATGAGATTGAGAAGTTCATCAAGCGAGCAACAGACTGGGTCAAATCGAACCAGCGTCCTGACGGCTCTTGGTACGGCAGTTGGGGCATTTGCTTCACGTATGCAACCATGTTCGCCCTGGAGAGTCTTGCAAGCGTCGGGGAGACCCATGAAAACAGCATTTTATCCAAGAAAGGTTGCGAGTTTCTGCTATCCAAGCAGCGAGAAGATGGAGGTTGGTCAGAAAGCTACAAGGTATGTGAACCCGTTCCGCCGTCATTTCCTACAAACAATTAACCAAGATGCAGGCTTGCGAGACCATGGAATGGCATGAGCATCCTTCTGGGTCGCAAGTGGTCATGACAGCCTGGGCTTTGATCGGCCTGATGGAAGCCGACTATCCACATGTGGAGCCTCTCAAGAAGGGCATCAAACTCATCATGGATCGTCAGCAGTCTAATGGCGAGTGGAAACAAGAGGCTATTGAGGGTGTCTTTAACAAGTCGTGCATGATCTCGTACCCCAACTACAAGTTCACATTCACCATCAAGGCCTTGGGTATGTTTGCGAAAAGATACCCGAACGAGAAAATCGAGTAGCGAGCGTTTGTAATTTAGAAATAACCATATGAAATAATTAATCAAAGCTTAAGTGTTACAGTCTTGCTGGTCTTGTGCCGTAGTCTACCTTCAGTGGGATGCGAAGCTTGCAGGCACTCTAAAATGAAGCAAGTTGCCTGCATAGCTCCTTACCGTGATCAAATGAAGAACTGCCCAGTCATCTTGAACAGGAAAGCATAATTAAGCAATCGCCCTGCATAGAGCGACTTTTACGTTGGCCAATTTCCATCCGGATCCTTTGTTGCTTGTTGGGCCAGCTTTGCTTCGACTTGACCACTCAGGTGGCGAGTTTTTACTGCCCCTCCACAAGGAACAATCCCAGCCCAGCCTGTTAGGCAGCCTCCGTAAGCCACTCTCTCAGCCTCACCCCGCCATCAACCCAACTCACTCCTACCCAAGCCCTCTGGCTGCTTGAGGTTTCCTCTCCTCCACCTTCGATCATTTCATTCTTCCTCTCATAATATTCCCCAGTTCCAAGGCTCATCACTTCGAGAAGTTTGGGCCTGCCCAACATGTCCCACATCACGCTCGCCCAGCAGGGCATCGCTGCTGTCGAAAACAAAGCCTGGGATGAAGCCATCACCAAGCTCTCCACGGCGCTTGAGCAGTCCACCAACCCGGGCTGGCTCATCGGCCGCTCCAAGGCCCTCGTCGCCGTCTCGCGCTTCCGCGAGGCCCTCGAGGACGCCGACCTCGCCTGGCACTCGGCGTACCAGCGCAACAAGCGCGACCTCATGATCGAGGCCCACTACCGCCGCGCCGTCGCCTACTTCCGCCTGGGCGAGTTCGCCAACGCCGACTGCTGCTGCGTCTACTCCATGCGCCTCGCTAAGGGAAAGTCGGCCGTGGAGAAGGAGGATCCCGTCAAGGACCTCAAGGACGGGAGCGGGCGGTGGACCGTGACCGCCCAGCAGGTCAAGGACGAGATCTCCAAGGACGAGCTCAACCAGTCCAGCTCCGGCTCCCTCGCCGAGGCGACCAAGGCGGCCGGGGAGTCGGTCAAGCAGTGGCGCCGGGCCAGCACGTTCCGCATCCAGGCGATATCTCGCCTCGAGAAGCTGCCGGAGGATGACCCCGCCAGGATCGCCACGGCGGCTCTGCAGCCGCCCAAGAAGGACCTCGCCAAGCTGGGCGGGATTGAGAAGAAGAAGGCCGATTCCAAGGCCGCTGGATCATCCGTCGCTGCCCCCGCCGTGGCGAAGCCCCAGGTTCCGACCAACACGCCCGTGCGCCTCCAAGACTTCCAAAACGACTCAACCATGTCTGTCACCATATTCTCCAAGGGGGTCAACAAGGAGAAGCTCGAAGTCGAGTTCCTTCCAAAATCGGTCCGTCTTGACCCCATCATCTACCCCAGTGGAGATGAGAAGGCCTTCAAGCTCAATCTCTGGGGCGAGATCGACACGGCCGCTTCCAAGTACACCGTCACCCCCAGCAAGGTCGAGCTCAGCTTGAAGAAGAAGTCACCCGGCAAATGGCCTCAGCTCAAGGGTGAGGGCAGCGACGACGAGCCCTCAGCGGAAGAGAAGATGGCCGAGGCTCGCGAGAAGGAAATGTAAGTTTGCTCTGTACCATCTCTCCCTTTTCGTCATACTGATCTACGAAACATGTAGTCTCGACCACCTTAAGGAATCACGCAAGAAGGCCATGGACGAGGCCGACGAGGAAGCAGCTGAGGAGAAGAAGGCCGAAGCCCCAGCACCAGCACCAGCCCCGGTCGAAGAAAAGAAGGCCGAGAAGGCACCTGCCCCAAGCGGGCCATCATACCCCACGTCTTCCAAGAGCGGCCCCAAGAACTGGGACAACATTGAGGGCGTCGACTCGGATGAGGAGGAGGGGGACGTCAACATCTTCTTCAAGAAGCTGTACAAGAACGCTAACCCCGAGCAGCAGCGGGCGATGATGAAGAGTTTCACGGAAAGCAACGGCACCAGTCTGAGCACTGACTGGAATGATGTGAAGGCACGCAAGGTCGAGACTCTACCCCCTGATGGAGTTGAAGCCAAGAAGTGGTAGTTCGAGAAATTCGTTCACCCACCACTTGGGTCGTCTTCTATGAGCAAGGAAGCTAAATGGTGGCTTTCAAAAGGGATTGCAAGGAAACGAATTAAGTGTGCGATATCAAAAGATGCTCTTCATGAGCTGGAAGGTTCTGTCTGTCCAGTATCTACAAAAAAGGCCTCGTATGGAGGTGTAACTTGGTACTGAAAAATAGTAGAACAAATTGAAATGAGATTATGAACAAGCGCTCTATCTATTCCAATCACTAGTCTGTGTTGATTTTCTCTGACAGTACAGCCATCTATCTCATTTGAAAGAAGGACCTTGCTCCTGCAACCGCGACCTCGCTCTTTCAACCAGCCTGAGCTCTTCTGCCCGGCTTTCCGTCTGTATCCTGCGGAGCCTATCCAACAACCGCGTGTACCAGTCCGTGGCCACCAGCTCGGCCTCCGTCTCGCCGGGATTCCACAACGCACGGCGGGCCCAGAGCGGCTGCGCATGCGTCTCGGGCGCGTAGCTCGCCCTGCTGATGAAGTCCTCGGGCGAGATGTACGCCCCGCGGAGCCATCGGCTGCCGCCGCCCGCGGCGTCAAACGCCTTGCGGCCATGCAGCACGCGCATGTTGTCGAAGAAGACGGCCTCCCCCGGCTCCATCTTGGTCTCGTACATGGCCGACTCCTCGTTGACCAGGGCCTCGAAGATCTGCGCGCCCTCGATCCAGCGGCTCAGGTCCCGGGCTCCGCGGAACGGCTTCTGGAAGGGCGGGCTCCAGTAGACGCCGCCGTAGATCTGGGTCGAGGACGTGTTGGCGTTCAGGACCTGGCGGGCGCGCATGTACCGGTGGCCGTACTTCTCGTAGCCGTACAGGACGTTGGTCTTGGTGAGGTTCTTGATGGGCGCCTGGTCGCGGAGCGCCCACATCATGCGGCCGACGCGGTCCGCGTCGCTGAACAGAGACTCGCCGCCGCTGCAGGAGTTATCCATGCAGTGCAGGACCTGGATCTTGGGAGGCGGTTGGAGATAGAGGAGGTCCTGGTGCAGGCCGAGGTAGCCGCTCGTGTAGGCGACGTTCTCTGCGTTCGGCTTGGCCCGGACGTCAAAGGTGCGGCCGTAGAAGGTCTCGCGGATGTTTGCCATGCGGGTCGTGATCTCGACAATGGAGTTCTCGTCGCGGGGCACGTTCTTGAGGAAGACGATGCCCAGGCGGACGAGATCCTGGACGACGTCCCAGAAGGCGTCCTCACCCTTCATGTACTCGTGGTAATCGATCTTGCGGACCTTTCTCGAGATGATATCAGCGTCCCAGTGCTCAAGGCCGAAGCGACGCTGGAGCTGGAACATTCTGGGATTAATGGGCTCCGTGCCGCGGGAGAAGTGGTTCCGAATCCACTCCCAAGTGAGGGTGATTACATGGCTGTCTTCGGTACTGTGGGAGAGATCCCCAAAGGTACTGACGACAACACCGACGTCCGTCTGCTCGACATGCTGTATCTTGATCCAGGTAGGCACCTGTGAAGTGGCGAACGACTTCTGGCCGGAACTCGGATCGACGCACCTGGGGCACTGGCACCCATCCCGCAGCTGCGTGGCCTCGAACTCATACCCCTTCTCGCTCTCGTCTACGACATACAGGCTATTGTCGTGCCACGAGACCTGGAGCGCCTCGCCGTTCTGGGCGTCCACATGCATGGGCAGACTCCGCGCAAGCCTGGGGATGTCTAGCTGACGCCCCCGCCATTTATAGCGAGGAGACGGTGGCTGCGCATCAGCCTCGAGAGAGCCGGCCTCCTCCTTCTTGACCGCGTCCTCCTGGTGCTCCGGAGACGATCCGGAGGTAGATCTATTGGGTCTAGATCCAGAGTTATGGAAACGGGCGCAAGGCTGAAAGGCAACCGCGTCTACCGCTGCAATTGATGGTCTTGAAAACACGCGATGACTCTGCGCAACACATGCTGCGGCTGGTCTGGGGTGTAGCCAACTAAGTCTGCGGGTTGCGACGCGCATGGCGATGGGCCTACCACCTTTTCTGCGGGAGTCGCAAAGGTTTTTCAGGAGCAAGCCGGTAGCGATAGAAATAAGTATTCGGTAGATATAATACACATGTTAGAACAAAGGGAAAGAAAGAGTCGAGCAATGGGGTAGCCGCGGTCCCGAAACCTCGGCTCAGTGTGGTCAGAGGTTGCTGTTAGTCTGTCCGTTCTCATGCAGCCGTCTCCATGAGCGATGGAGACTCGCGTGGTTTTGGCCCAATGGAGATGCGCTCGCTTGCCCTGTTTTCTCCCCCGCCACATCTTCACTCTCTCCTGCACCACCCGCTCACCCGACACACCAAAACCCCTCCATTTCTACAGTACGTCAATGCACGGTGATGGGGAAAATGTGTTCATGTGATCATACATTGTATTCATGGGTATCCATTATTTCATGCGTTTTACAAGTGTACTTCCTCATCAAGTGAAGGCGATACCTCACACGAGGTGCCGTCTCTGGGGAGTCTTCCTCCACGACTGACTATATACTATACACGACTCCTCCAGTTTGTTCAGTGATAACCACCTGGCTGAGTCTTCCAAACGATTGTAACGTAGAACAGCTACCGGTTGCGGTTACTGGACCACCGCTTCACCATTATCTCTCGGACCTTGTACAATCTCAAGGCATCTGCCAAGCCTGATTCAAGAGCCTGTTCGAACTTGTGAGGTGGGGGTACGTCCACGTAAACAAGTACCATGCTCTTCATGACATGCGACAGAACCCGAAGGATGCTATGAAACCACTGCCACGTCTTCTGTGGCTTGCGCTTCCCTGATGACTGCCACCAGGGATCCGAGTACGAGGGTATGACCAGCAACCCAAACTCTGCGTGATCAAATACAGGCCCCTTATTGTAAAGGAGCCAATCAACACCAAACTTAATGCCAGCACGGGGTACCCAGCCCAGTGAGCGAAAATGATGGTACACAACATAATGTAGAAGGAAATCGTCATCCGGTAATGGAGACGGGTCATCAGGCCCAGTCAAGGGCGGGAAGACGGAGTGCTGGCGGAACAGGTTGAGAAGCTCTCGGGTCGACAATGGATTGCCAGATCGAGCATCGTTCACAACGAGAACACCTAGAGCAAAGTTGAGCCACAATGCTTCCTCTGGCATGAGTTGAAGGTGCTCCTTGTTGACCAGGACACCAGCACCGGCCCGGGATCCAAGAGCCAGAGACTCATTTTGTTTGGAATTAGGTGAGTGTCCCGGACTTGGAGGGTCGGCATGGTCGAACGTTGTAGATGCTACTGTAGGTGAAAACCGTACGCTCTTTTGGCGCTTCAAATGATGGAGACCCGGAATGACTGGTGTGGAATTCGGCGCTTCGGTCGACGAGGTATCATCACTAGATTCCAGACTTGAGTCTAATGTACCATTTGTCTTGGAATAATCATCGGAACTTTCACCATGCGATGGCCCGTCCTTGACGAACCCGTTGACCAGGTTGCTTGGCAAGCTCGCGGCCGAGTTGGGAAGAGCAAGAATCTCAGCCGGACCGACTGGTGCCAGAGGTTCTGCGGGAATATGTGCTTTTGGAGCGATGTCCGCATCCTCAACGGCACGACGTCTTTCAGCTTGCCTTGCCTCTCTTTCGCGTGTCTGACGGATGATTTCCTGCTCAAGCCTGGCTCGCTCCCACTTGGCGCGAATTCGCTCCTCGCGTCGCTCGACAGTATGAATTTCACTCACGTGGCCTTCCTGTAGGCCTCTACGAACTTCTTCTCGCCTCAGCCAATTAGGCTCACTTCTACTGAGACTGCCTTTCCCGTAAAATCCTTGCTCCCATAGCGCCCGCATAGACCGCGCATCTTTGATGTGAACAGATGTGGTCGCTACGGACCAGGTGCCCTGGTGAATAATACTGGGCTCGGCAGGTGGTGGGGACAGGATCTGGCCAACCCAGGCATATGCGAGTTGGATGAAGGAGAGTGGATTGCTCGGATAAAACGAGGGAAGTGGAAATGTCTTGATCGGGGCCGGGAGGGCATAGATCTCGTGAAGCTGACGCTTCGTCGCTAGATTATTGTTGGCACTGGCCATGGCAGGTTTCGGACTGGAGGTTTCAGCCATTCTGCATCTGAGTCATCTTGACCTTAAAGACCCGAGGTTAGCTGTAGTGCTCCAAATCAGGTTTCTGGGGAGTCGTTGATAAGAAAAGAAAAATTCCTGCGGTATCAGATACCGTTGTAGTCTATAATTTTGGGCAAGCATTGAGGACCAAGTGAATGGTGTTTCCTCTTAGCACCGTTACGAAGTGTCATCATAACAGCAGGACGGCCTTGAGCAGCATGCTTTGCTGCCTTGGCATGGAGGGAAGAGTCATCTGGCAAGATGACGGAAAGAATAATAAAAGTGCCTTACCTGGATGTAGTGAGGGCCTCGGCAGTATCAGCTCATGGCTTTCTCTGCGTGAGCTCGTCAATGGATGAACACGACGACGCTCTCAAGGCCTCTCTGTGTAGCTCTGTTTGTGTGAGCGCAAAGCAGATTGATGATGGAGGAAGAAAACTTGGAGCTTTCGAATTTTTCCCGCGCTTATTTAGCTTGCGGTACGTACCAGTCCCAAGTGGGGATCGCTCCGTCGCACAGATTTGAGGCCCGCAAGCGACTGACATAAAACATGGCACGCCCAGAACCTCCAGCGTTGAATTTGAACACAATATCAAAACAATAAATATCGTAGAATAATTTGTTATTTTCTTATTATTATGTTTGGTATTATTGATAAGAAAATTAAGTCCCTACCTTACGTGAAAAAGGCTCTAGTGCGCCATGTTTTATGTCAGTCGCTGGCTCACTGAAGGGAGGCGGATGGCCCCTGGCTGCGCTGTCCACAGGCCCAACACAGCAGGTGATTGGACCCCCTGAATGCCAGGCACCGTGCTGTGGTTGGTGGTTTTGCCGCTCTAGAACATGCTATCGTCCAGCCATAGAGAAGTTCAGATATCAATTAGACGTCGCTAGATCTCCGTTGGGCTCATTTATATTCTCCTCGCTCCCCAGATTCATATCCTCCGTCCTGAGCCCCTATCCGCCACACCTACGAATATCCGCCGTTGGAAGAAATTTGTCTGTATCTGCGTAATCAACTGTGTATTCCAGGCCCTGCTTTGGACAGATAGCAAAGGAGGATCCGTCCCACGCATGAACTAATCACCTCACCAACCTCTTCCTCTTCCGCAACATCCGTTCCTGGAAACATCAATCCCGGAGGGCACACGCCATATTTGCTAGCCAAACATTCTTTCACCAGTCCTACAGCTTCTGGCAGCATTGGTTCGCAATTTATACAGCCTCTCTCCGCCCAAGCACTGCTCTCCCTCATATGATGACCAGCCCCGCTCAGCTCTACCGCCATTTCCGTGAATTATAGCTGGTCATCATCCGGTAACGATGAACGCAGCCATTGAAACAGTTGCTGTGGTCTGCCTCATATGGAGTTGCATCGTCGTTCTCGTTGAGTCCCTTGGCATTCGCGCAATGTAACCACAACCCCCTTCTTGCTGTATCATACAACAGTAGCTGACATGCTCTTACAGCTTCAAGCACTATGCAAAAGAACCTCCGCCAGGGGTTTCACCCGGCCTTGGGCAGAATGCACCGTCTGTAACCATCATCCGGCCCGTCAAGGGTCTGGAACCTAAGCTCTACGAATGTATTGCTTCTACTTTCCGCCAAGACTATCCCAGAGAGAAACTTTCAATCCGCCTTTGCGTTGATAACCACAGTGACCCAGCTTATCCGGTCCTGAAGCAGGTCGTGAATGATTTCCCCGGGTTTGATGCTGAAGTATTGGTCGAGTCCGACACGGCTTCAACAGACTACATGGGCAAGGTTGGGCCAAACCCCAAGATTCGAAACATCAGTAGGGCGTATCGAGAAGCAAAGGGTGAGGTCATATGGATCATGGACTGCAATGTCTGGGCAGCGCCGGGTGTCCTAGGCCGGATGATTGACAAGCTTATGGGCTACTCCAAGGCGGACGCCTCAGCACTCCCCTATAAATTTGTTCATCAACTGCCGATCGTGGTGGATCTTGTCGATTACTCCGGTGAGAGGTCTCCCGTCGAGCAGGCACTTCTGTCTCCCGAGGCGTCATCTTCGAGCGTGGACCCCATGCCCTCGAGAGAAAACGATGGCCTTTTCACAAAGCTTCGCCTCAACGGTGGTGGTCGCCTCGATGAGCTGTTCATGGCCACCACCCATGCCAAGTTCTACGGTGCCATCAACATCGTCGGTGTTGCACCCTGCGTCGTGGGCAAGAGCAACATGTTCAGAAAGGCACACCTGGATCAGGCAACCGACCCGGCCCAGAACCCCATCATACCGAAGAACCAGGGCCGACTGACTGGTGTTGACTACTTCTCCCACAACATCTGCGAGGACCACTCGATTGGAGAGCTGCTATGGAGGACCAAGATCGAAGGCTATGGCAAGCATGGCATTGTCTGGGGAGACCTCGTCGTCCAACCCATGTCGGGCATGTCTATTGACGCTTATATTGGCCGACGTATCCGCTGGCTGCGAGCTCGGAAGTACACCGTCCTGGCGGCTACCTTGGTCGAACCTGGAGTCGAGTCTCTCCTCTGTGGTCTCTACTTCAGTTTCGGTGCGACAACAGTCCCCTGGGTTCATGACGTCTTTGGTATCCCCCAGACATGGTCAGCCATGGCAATTGTCTGGTTAGCTTTTGTCACAGCCTGGATGCTGGCTGACTGGGCCATTGTTTGCCGCCTTCACGCCGGCAGCTCGATTACTTTTGACGAAAATACACCCTTCTTCGCCAAGGGAAGAAGAATCCCCGGAGTAACTAGGCGTCGGTTCTTAGAATGGCTGCCCGCGTGGATTGGCAGGGAAGTGATGGCCATGCCGATCTGGGTAACCGCAGTGTTTCTCGGAGGTACCGTAAACTGGAGAGGTCGGATCTTCAGAGTCCATTCCGACACCACCGTACATGAAATCACCCCTCAAGTCCAGCAGAGGCCATCTCAGCCACGGACTCCGGAATTAGAGAGACAGGTGCTCCCCAATAAAGATAGACGAGATTAGATCTAGATCAAGTGTTTCTTAGCTGTTAAAAGAATACTTTAATCATCTTCTTTAAACTTATCTCCAGGATTCTTCCAAGCATCTTGTTCATGTTTAGTGTTGAAGGCCAGCTTGGCGTGAAATAGTTTACGTGATACAGTCCCCAGATGGCAATTCAACAACCACACCAGCGAAATGGCAAATCTTATGGAATTTCACTATTTATATTTGGTTGTCTTGTGAAGATAGGATCCAAAAACAAAAAAGTAAGAGTGCATCATTCCTCTTTTCCTCCTATGCACAGAATGCTTTTATAGAACTACCCAGCGCCGTAACTCCAATATTGCTTAGACAAAACCCCGGGTGACCGAAGCGAATAGTTCAGCGCTCGGTTTTAAATTCGATAATACGAACTGATTCGAGGGTCGGCGAGGGTGAAATAGCGTGCAGCATCACAGACGCTCGGAATGAGGAACTCGCAACTTGAGTTCTCTTCCTCCCAAAATTTTCTCAATGCCCCGAATTACGCAGCCGTGGGCCCCCTCAGCTCAAGCCGTGCCAATGTGGTGGGAATCATATTTCCAGCGGCGCTTCCTAACTCGCAGAATCGCTCATCCAGATGCGAAAAGATTGTCTTCGTCGCGCAGGTACTCTCCGTTATCCGCCTGTCGGAAGCACACGACACCAGTGGGATCCAACCGGCGAGAGTCAGCAGTGCTGCGGGCAGTGACGCCAAAGCCGAGCGGCACGTCGTCCATGCTATAGACGACGATGCCCTGATGCTCCGGGCAGTCCTCGGAGAAGCGACCGATGTGGGCCTTGACGACGTTGCCGCCGTAGAGGAAGGGCATGACGCCGTTGGGTCGGATCCAGATCTTATGGCGGGCGTAGGGCGCGATGATGGGCAGGGCGGTGATGTGCATGCGGAACTTGCCCGACTTTGTGAACTTCCCTATGCAGGTGCCGAGGGACAGGAGCTTGTCGCGGGCGATCGAGGTGGCAATGTTGGCGATCGAGAGGAGGACTGCGTAGACACGGCCCTGGCACAGGCGGAAGACGATGCGGTCGGCTTTGGGGGAGTTGTCGACGGGGGCGATGAGGTTTTTCAGAGAAGGGCCGGTGTACTCGGCCAGCTTCTTGAAGAGGGTCTGGGTCTCTTCTTCTGTGAGAGGACGCATCTTGGCGAATGGCTATACAACAATGAAGATAATTCGGTCAAGGCGAAGCTGCGCCGAGTCCTAGCTCATGGGCAGAAAAAAAAAGATGGGCAATTGATAGATTTCTTATCAAATTTGCTTATCGGTAATGCTGTGGCGTAGGGCCCCTCAATTCTCTAAATCGCTGTGGCTGAAAATATCACAAGTGACTGATCTACCTATTCATGATAATTACCATCATCTTCTTAAAAACCCAGAAATGATAATACGTCCTGTTAAAATTGAGTATATTTAGGAACAATAGCGGGAAAAAAACTATTCGAGAGCTAAAACTGAGTAAGACGCTGCTTTGGCGTGTTCATTTCCATGCCGTGTTGTGAAACGGCAGTACATATCTAGCTACCCTAAGCCAGCTTTCATAAACCAACGATCTAGCTCTAGGCATGAACACTTCACTCTGTGCTCATCAAGTTGCCGAATTGTCTCCGATGAGGTATATTTTGATCTTATTTATTGTTATTAAAAGGGCATTTTGGTCTTTATAAAGAGATTTTAGAGCCTAAAAATAATTTGTGCAGATGAATCTGATTGTTGGACATAAAGGAGTAACAACCATTTTTGGTAGCTTTTATTCTTATTTCCCAGGAAGAAGGTAGACATGTTAAAACGTTATGATACTCCCCCAACGGACTCTCAGATAGGTGAGAGTATACTCACTATATATTCGCATCATGAGTCTCGAGTATAATATTAGTCTTGGTATGGTAATGTGCCATAATATATGGTATTATTGAACTTCGAACGAAGGTCTTCTGCGAGCGCTTCCGTGTCAATCAAGGCTAACAGCCGTAATATAGATACCTTATACTCGCATGTTTGGCCTATATCGCATGTACCCTTGACCTCTGATGAGAGTCCAGCATCAGCGCTACGAGAGGATAATGGGGTTGGATATTGATTCAAAACGCCTTTAATGTTCCTTGTATTTGGTATTTATTTAAAAAGTTTTTCGACTGTACGGTATTTCAGCGTTATGACGATACACCTAATCCTCCATGAGCATCGGGGTGCTGGTATTCAAAGCATATCGGCAGCAATGAACAGGAGACGACGCGAAAGCTGAGAAACAGGTTCAGTTCGTCTAATAAAGGTACGAGGTATGCTTGTCTCGATCTAGCGTCGCAAGAGAGTTGGATCTGGTGTGCAAGACCGGACTCAGACCAGGAGCCGATCAGCTTGCTCTTCACTGCAAGCAGGTCGATTTCTACTGTTTCCAAATGAACAAGGCAACTTCCTTACTCACTAGTGGACTTTGAATCCTATCCTTGTGTTGGAGAGCGACATATAGACATGACAAACTGATCTTTGACGGGATCACCTACCAGTTGGCCACAGGAAACACCTCCCTGTGAACGTTGTCGCCCATGGGAAACCAAGGATGGGTATATTGTCCATGATTATCATTTCGTATAGCTGTGATTATACAAGACTCGAATAACTGCGAGATGCCATTGCCTGATGGATGCATAGCGTCTGCTTCACCCCTAGCAGTAATATTCAACAACTCGCTGGTGCACTATGTAGCAATTTGAAGCTGTCTAGAAAGCTGTTGTACATTATGAAGTCTAGAGGCAGCAATCGGAACGCTTCGTGTACGAAATATGCTATACTGTGGGTATTTATGCCTGGTATTCGCGGTTCGAAGGGAGGCTGGATCGAGGTCGAGTCCTGACACTTCGAGGTGCACGCTGTACTCATTTATCATTCATTCGGCCTTATTTTGTCCGAGAAAGCCTCCAAAATGTAGATGAACATGGTTGAGGTTGTCATCGCCAACGATAGAATCATCAGGTGAAATGCTTGAGCACCTCCGTCCGTCCGGGCTCACTCTCTCCTGTAGAATCACTCCGGTCGCGGAACAAAGTGGCAAGAAAAAGGGGTTTCTGTTCGCCTCCAAGAATTGTTGAATGATAAGAAAAGAATCATATTATTCGTCGATTGGCATGTCATCAGTGATTGCGAATTATCGTTGGTAACCTCGGTTGGAGGACCGGGTATGAGTTGGGGGAACTTCAGCCCCCCTGCGCATCCTGTTTCCCCCCATCAGTTTCCTCAACCGCCCCCCCCTTCTCCAAATTTCTTTCAATGCATGCGAGTACCCCACCCATCTTTTCGTAGATACGGTACATGCGTGAATAAAATAATCTCTTACTAGTTCACATATATGGTGGGTTTATTGCTGGAGAGTCTCGTTGGGGGAGTGGCGGCCTGCATGTGTCTGTGGTGTTGGTGGGCAGCTTCTCCTCACTGCCCCCAGTCAGGTATCCATTCCCCCCCAAGATCAATCTCAACAAGGGGTGGTTTCAAATATTGTGACTCCTCACGTACCGTAGCATGGGCAGGGGGCTTTCCCCGCATGACTGAGCGAGAAAACATCGAACCATCTGCGGAGATACAAGATTATTGAGGTGCGGAGTCACTCCTAGTAAAAGACTGGCCCCGAATGACATGCCATCTGTGTTGGGCCACTCCCTAATCGGAGATTCGTGTTGAGATCATGCCCCATGGGGACCATCTGTCTTGCCTGATTTTTCCTTTTACACCCATCTGTGTATGCCAGATGAGAAGTGCGGGTTACAGATCAGTGTCCACCCCAAGAAAAAATGGCAAATATGGGAGTATGGCAATACTGGTTGGAGACAAGTGGATCTGTCGAATGTGGTTGTGGTGAATGCTCGTTTTCCTTTTGTCTTCTTTTTTTCTAAAATGTTTTTTGCCCCTCATGCCGGTAAGACTCGCGTTGTCTTCCGTTGGAGTAAACCCATTTTGGGGTTCTGTGTGGCTGTATAGGAACCGAGACCGAGATTGCCTCAACAGCGAGTGAATCCCCACCCCTTTCCCCTCGACCTGCATCTGTAGGAAGGATGCATGTAGCCAAGGACCCATACTCGATGATACTACGAGTAGATGGGGGCGGGACTGACCCCAACGTTAAGCGAACAAGGAGAAGCTACGGGAGGGCTGGAGAAGTAGATGTCTCCAGGTTGGCACTCATCAGGGTTCAGGGTTTGGGTAGGGCGCCCAGGATGGTAATGAGGCCGCCCTTGCGGACAATAGTGGCATGAAGCGGGCGGCTAGAGACCACCTGTGGAATAATAAGCAGGGATTCATGCAATGTACAAGAGTTAATTATCATTCGAGACTTCTTCTTTGCTTATGCACGGGTGTGGAGCTGGCCATGAGTGTGTGTGAAGCAAGACTACGCCGCTGCCGCGCAACATATTCGCCATGTGTCCTACCCCTGCCGGCGAAAGAAAGCAGTTACCGGGCTGGCGGCCTCCTTCTGAGGGTGAAGCAGGAGAGAAGCTCGATAGAAGACGATAATGAAGACGGGAATTCCCGGCAACTCTTTGTACTCTACAATGAATCTCTTCAAGGTCGAATATTTGCCGGCCTTGGCGTGGGGCTCACACACAAAAGAGCGAAGGCTATAATGACAACCGTCGGGTTGCTTGCAAAGAGGTAAAGTGATGTGGTTTTGTCTCCTGATAGCATCACTTGGGCGACGCAGGGGAACTGGCATGGCAAGTTCCCTGCATTATCTAGAAGGGAAATTACATTCTTTTGGGGACTGTGTAAATAGTAGAGGAAAATTTGAGCGTGCCCTTACTTTGCGTACCTGGAAGTGGGATATGTTGTATGCAGGTGGCTCCTGCATTCGCCTACCTGAGAGTGTACATATTTCGTTCTAACTACCGAAGGAGTCAGAACTGTAGACGGAACAGAACGGGTACATAATGCTTCTCTCGATCCTTAAACGGTACTAGCTCTAGATAGCGGCATAGCATGGTACATGGCACAGCATGGAAGCCCGGAAGGGGCTTCTAGAGCGGTTCCAACTCGCTTCCTGGAAGAAGGATGGCGGGTGGGATCGGTGGAGCAGGGTTGATGATGATGTTGATCCGAGCGTGAGTAATATGACGAGCTAGTAAGTGCGCCACGGCGGCAATTTGCTTCCAGCCAAGCCGGGCGAGCAATACTATCGTGTCAGTGTACCCTTTTGGCTAGGGGTCGTTGCATGCATGCACTGATGGGCCAAGGCCAATATGCTCCGAAGCTGATTCATCTCGAAGGCATCCTCGCATAGCTAGCGAAGATGACCGTAGGAAGTTTGTGTGTGTGGCATGGCATGTTCGACCTTCGTGACGATATTGAACCGGCCACACATTTTGACGTTGTGTTTATGTTTTACCCCGCAAAAATAAAAGGATCAAAACTCTGGGGATTTCCCACAATCCTCTGGACAGGGAGCGAGTAACCAACCATGCTGGTACTGAGCTGGATGGCCTGGATATGGACAGGCAAGGGGCCGAGATGTGTCCACGAGTAAGTATGTGTCTGCGGGCGTAGATGCGTTGTAGCTGGGAGGGTTGTATCTTGCTGGGAGTTGAGAAACGCTGCACCCCCCCACGGGGTTGGCAGCCACTGGAAGCGCCTGTCATTGTAATACCCAGTCAGCGAACAGTGGAGTGATACCAGGATCGTGGCGGTCATGTGGCTGCTGATGGTCTCGGATCCGGTGGAGGGAGCCTGGAGTCTGGAGACAGACGCAGGCGGGACAAGATGGAATCTGCTGCAAGGACCCATCCATCCCCTCCTCCATCCTGGCTGGCTTCGGCCATACAGCATATGCCCTGGCCCTTGCCCTTGCCCATGGCGGATGTCGCAGATGGCAGCCTGTTGGCCAGTTAGCGCCAGGCTGGATGGACACCTGCCCGTATTCTCTCCGAGATGCAGAGTTTTTTTTCTTCACTTCCCCTACCTCAGCCCGCTGACTGTGTCACTATCGTCATGACGACACTCAGTGAGGTCTTTTGTCGTCTTTCCAATTATTAAGCTTGCTTTTTCGCTCGTCAGGGGGCCAATGTGGGTCGAGAGAAGCAGTCATGGGTCGTTTTGGCCTTCTATTAAGCTCATTTGTAAGGTTATTCACTCGTCTCCACGGCCGGTCGATTAGACTC